GTGGGACTTTTTTTGTTGATTTTTTTTCTTTTGTTGAGACACTAAGGCTGGCCTGGAACTCTCCGTGTAGCGTTGATTTTTTTCTTTTGTTGAGACTAAGGCTTGCCTGGAACTCTCCGTGTAGCTCCGGCTAGATCCAAACTCAGTCCTCTTGCCTCTGCCTCCCCAGTGCTTTGACAATAATTACTGATTATTATTGGCAAAAGTTCATGACCCTTTCTCACTTCCCATGAGGGCAAACACAATTTTGAAGGAATTTTAATTCTCTTATTATCTAGGCTGATGAATAACCAAAGCCTTATTTAACAAGGAAGTAGGCTAAAGAAGCTGTTCATGTTTCTAAGATCTATGACTGCAAGAAACAGTCATCAGCAATGGATCAAAAATCACACACCAAAGGATGAAAAGGGTGACATCAATCAAGATGCATGGTACGTATAAATGGGTTTGTTGAATGGTAATGCCTTTGTACAATTAATTAAAGATAATAAAATATAATTTAAAAAAGAATGAAATTGTTGAAAAAAAGCAATACCCCCGGTAAGAACAGATAAATATCTATAATTCTAAAACAGGAGAGTCCAAAGCAGGAGAATTCTGAGTTCAAGGCCACCCTAGGCTTCATAGGGAGTTCTAGGCAAGCATATTTCAAAAAAAAAAAGGAAAATTAACAACAAATAATCCCACAACACCAACCAAACAAACAAATGAAAAAAAACCCCACACACCTGATTAAAGAAGTCTGTTTGGAAGGACAGAGTGTTTTCTGTTATTGAGTGTGAAGGTATGAGTTTCATCATCAATAATGATAAAGAAAAAATTCTTAAACATGTGCAAGCTAAATGACAATCATTACCATCACCACAATGACAGCAGATTAAACTGCCTAGCATTGCTTTAAGTGTAGCAGGTATAGTGTGACCCATTTCATATCACCACAGGCGCCTGGCTCTGCAATCTGTGGTCTTAACCACTACAATTCACTGCCTACTTCCCAGTTTTGGAATCCTGGGCAAACTACTTACTTTCTTAATCTCCTTGTTACCTCAGATGATAGTGACAAAAATAAATAAACGTTTGGTTAAGCCTAGATCATTGCCTGATGCACAGCAAGTACTAGATAATTTATATAAAAGTTATTTGCCTGTTGAGAGTAATAAGATACACATTTCTGTCAATTAAGTGGAATCTGCTTTGCTTCTCTAGCTAAACAAAACCAGTCATGAAAAATATGATCAAAATACTACAGTGAGACCAGATTCTCTCAGTAATTTGATGTGCATTTATACTTTGAAAAATGGGGCTATTCTATTATCCTCTGCTCATTTCTCTGATCATCCTCATTGCCTTGGACAATCATTCATACAATTTCAGTACAACCCCCTTCAGACTTTACCTAGCACTTACGAGCTATCAAACCTAGTGAACTGATTCCTTTGTGCTTATATCCAAATATAAGGCAGCATTCAATGTGGCCTGACAAATCTTCTATTTATCAATCCTTAGATTTTCAAAGCAACATGAAACCATCATTTCATTCAAGCTTCTGTATTCATTCCATCCCCACCCCCAAATATCCTAGATTCCTCAATAGATGGAAAACAGAAGCTATCAAATATAAGTTCCACTTCTGGGTTTCTTCCTCTATGCCCTTAATCTCCTGCAAAAGAAAATAAATTCAACAACATTTGCACATGTCTTTGCTTAACTCTTTCATTCTCCTGGTTTTAGAAAGAAACAACAAAATGCCTTTCTAATACTTTTTCCCCAAGGCCAACTCTTCTCTGATTCTCCTAGGAATTATAGATTATATAATTTTCCTTGTCTTATTGTCTGCTTCCATCCCTCTTCAATCTTTAAACTTTTTCTGTCAATCTAGGAACACAACCATAAGAAAATGCATCTTAGTCTTATTTTTCTTCCTAAATCTTGGCTTTTTCTACCAAGTATCTCAAGTGGTCTCTTGCAGATCACTGGAGAGTAATCTAATACAGGGCACTCTTGGTTACAATCAATCTTTTAAGTATTCTTAAAGATTCTGGCATCCATAACCTTTGATAACCATTAATTACTTCTTCCTTTTCACTGTTTTTAAACAAACATAATAGAAGAAATTATACCACAAAATTTTATTATATATGACAAACTGCACTTTAACTAAATGTTAATTACCTTAGGCTTTTCCACATTTTATAAATTAGCAAAATTAACACCTTAAAATGCTTTTTAAAAGATAATTTTTACATGAGCTAAGGGGTAAAGATAGAAATTATAATACCACAGTATAAACTCTTAGAAACATAACTAATTTAAAATATTATGTATATAAAAGAATAAGCTTAGAGAGATACAGGTTTCATACCGTCAAGGAGAAGAATCTAGTAAGAAGAAATAGAACAGGAGAAAACATGATATATTTAAAGAGGAAAAAAAAAAACTAGCCAGTAAGAGTAGAGCATAGAAAACAAGGGGAGGAAGGGGAGAGGATGGCCAGATTCCTTAAAGCCTCCTAGGCCAGAATAAATACATTTTTGGTGTGCTCAGAAAAAAAAAAGAAATGAACAGTTAAAAAAATAACAACACAAGAAAACAACTCTAGTTGTCTTAGACTAGAGTTGAATATAACAAACATAAATGGGAGTCAGAAATCTCAGAAGAAAATTATAGTTGGGGAGAAGAGGTAGCAGGGGTAAAGGTGATAGATTCTCGAAGACAAAATAGGTAAGATTTGGTCAGTGGCTAGATAAGTGGGAGAAAGTTATGACTGTCAGTTATGACTGTCAGTTATTTTACTGCATTTATATATATATATATATATATATATACATGTACATAGAATGTAGAGCTAATATATCTTGTATAGCATGTTAAACTGCTAACAGAAGTTACCAAAGGGATGAGTTTTACATAGTAAAAGGCAAACTTTAAAAACTTTATACATTTTAAAATATTTCATACTCAATACACATCGCTTTCATAGTTAAATCCACATGTATTAAAAGATTAAAAACAACAACAACAAAACATTCACTTTGGAGTGAAAAAGCCAAGTGAGAGCTCAAGGCCCTGAGTTCAAGCCCCAATATCGGCACACACATAAAAAGCATTTGCCTGATTGAAAAGGATATAGGAATGGCATTTTTTTAAGGGAAAGGGAACAAGTTATCAAAAGCATAGCCAAATGAAAGTGCAGGATATATTTTAAAGAATTTCAATTAGCATTTGATAAGCAAGGAAGGATGGATACTAGAACATAAACAGAAAGAGGACCAAAGCCTTTTTAGATACAGCCAGAACTAAAAGATTTTAAAGACTAGGCTAAAGAAACTATTTCCTAAACTGTAGGAAATAGGAATCATACAAAAACTGTCACCTAGGAAAGTAATTAAAGAAATCAAGTTTGTGTTTATTCACACTATAGAGCCAGTGTAAAGACTAGATCAAAAAGGAGACAAAAGACAGGCAGGGAGATCACTTACGCAAGAACCTAAGCTAAATCGGTGACTAGACACACAAAGAGGGACATCTGAAATTCATTTCAAAAGCAGTTGACAGGTGGTTAGGCTGGATGTGACAGATAGGTAAAGTGAAAGATGGTTTCTATTTCAGGAAATCAGACAATAATGACATCAACTTAGGTATGGCAAGAACAAGTTTAAGTGCAGAGATAATGAATTTTGTTTTGAAGATGTTGATGTAGAAGTTCTTCTGGAATCAGGTCAAAGTACCCAACAGGAGATAGATGAGTTGAGGAGCATGGTTAGGACTGCAGCACATGAACATTACTACCCAGAAGAGAAAATGTTAAATCTTACCCTTTATGTCATTTCACTGAACCTTGAGGCAACTGTCAAGGGTTGACCAGTTCCACTTATTCACATAGCTGTAAAAGCTCCACATAATTGTTAAGTCTGTAGATGATAATAACTTCAAAAAGTAAGGATTTTTCTTTATCTTGCTCCCTTTAAAGTCTTTAAAGTCCCATTTGCTAGCCATTTTCTATCTACTTAAGGAAGATGGATGAGGTATTATAAGGAAGTGTAATATAAAAACCATTTGCCATGCTTATTGTCTTAACTGTAAAAGGCAAAGAGTGTTCCACAATTCTACCTTTAACAAAAACCCAAATTAAATGATGATTTACCTATGTGACTCTCCCCTGATTTTCTCTTGCAAATCACTGACCCCAATGTGGTCAATTCCAGCTATACTGTAGCTTTAACCAGAAGTTAAACCATTCATAATCCTGTTGTTTTGAACTGTCTCATTGTACCCAGCCACACTGTACCTTTGTCTAAATGATGGTACCCTAGTTTGATAGGAGATGGGAAGGACCTGTTGGAAAGGAGACAGCTACTTCCTTCCTGAGCAAAGGAAAAGCAGGAAGATGGCAGAGGGGCAGAGCAAACTCACAGTCAAAAAACTGGCTCCCCATTGGTAACATTTTCCATGAATGGATATTTTAAAGTATATCAATAATTGGGAGAGTGTTGACTGCATTGGGTCTGTGCTGAACTTCAACAGGGCTTCCCAATATATCTACATTTAAAACCCATTTTAAATTTAAATTGATACAAAGAGTCTTAGCTTATATGCAGTAAACTAAGACTGTAAGGAACTGTCCCATTGCAGGTAGGATTAGGCCCAAGACAATGCACTTTTTGGTAAATAATATATTTAAAAAGAAACGTTTCACTTTCTGTATACTATTTATATTTATATAACTTAGAATTGCTAAAATTTCATTAGAAAATGTTTTTCTTAAATATGTTTATATAATTTTAAGACGTGCTGCAAACTTTTACAATTTTTTTTTTATCATTCCTCTTCCCATCCACTCTGGTATCTGGGAGCTTACTCTTGAGTAAGCTAAACAACCATCGTAATATTGGTATGACTAACAAATTTTTTTTAAAGTTAGATAGATAAGTTTACTGTTCTTCATCAAATGGAAATTAGCAATCACTAAAAACATTTTAAAAATTAGTATGCCCATGATGTATGGAATTTTAAGACATCGGTTTACTATACTGATTAATTCAACATTTATATTTTCATCAGAACTTACTAATCCCATAAATAAATAGAGCTCTCAATTATTTAAAAAATCAAGGGATAACATATGTATTTAGACATATTAGCAGCGAAAAATGTATGCTTCAACACACTTATTGGGAAAAAGTCTGAAAATATTACTACACTGAATTCAAGGGTATTCGCAGGAAACCTGACAAGAGAAGTTCTCTAGAACATTTCAAGAAATTAAAAAGGGGGGGGGAGGGGAAGGGAGGGTCAAAAGGGAAATATTCTCAGTTTAATTGACAAAGTTCAGTGCTTGCTCCGACTTGATTTCTGTCTCTGCCCTGCCCCGTCCCCAAAAAGTTTCCAGATGAGTACATCACTTAGACGAAAGTTCATCTACTGGAATAAAGGGAGAGACCACTTGGGCAGGTGACACAGGAGAGTCGGTGGTAGTGCTGACTTTAGCTGGTGAGTTACAAGAAGATCCCGCACTGCTGCTGTTTCCATCCAGGGTATCCGAAGACACACACACACCAGGATCTGACAGCTGTGCAACGTCAGAAGAAAGCATGTTGGTGATGCCCTGGAAAAATCTCTTTGGCTGATACTCAGTTTCCATTTCACATTTTCTTTTCAATGGTCCGAGAACACTTGGTCTGATACAATTGATGGGACTCTGGCTTCTCCGGGTGGTAAATCGGGTCGTCGGGCTCGGGATGGGGCTTGGAGGCAATCCGTTGCTACTCACAAAACTTTGCAAGGATGGTGAAAAACACTGCTTCCCAATACCCCGGGTGGGTGACGGTGCTGGTGACACGGGAATGAAGTCGATGCGCTTGGGCGAGGCGGATTTCTCCACGTCGTTGTCACTCAGGCTGAAACTTTCCTCCCAGGAGTGGCTTATCTGCATTGCGGTCTGGACCTCGCGCTCGTGGACCGTCTCCCGGTTGATCAGGTCCATGCCCTCCTCCTGTTTGATCTGGTGCAAGCGGCTGCTGTGCATGCGGACGGGGGAGGCCGGGAGCAGCAGGCCGTGGCGGCCCGGGAACGTGGTGCTGTTCCGCCTGGCGCTCGGCGTCTCGGCCTGGAACACCGGCGAGGTGTCACTGAGGCCGTGGATGAGGGGGGCGCTGTTAGACCTCCGGAGGCCCCCTCCGCCGCCGCCTCCGCCGCCGCCGCCGCCGCCGCCGCCGCCCTCCGCCGGACTCCCGCCCGGACCCGGAGGCAGCTCCAGGTCCAACTCCATCTTCTCCTGAGCCATGTCGGGGGGCAGGGAGGCGGGGGGCGGTCCTCGGTCAGGCCTCGGGGACTCCCATACCCCGCAGTACAGGGAAGCCGCCGCCACCACCGCCTTCGAGAATCTGTCAGCGGGGCTCACCACTCCTCCCTCTGCGCATGCGCACCCCCTGCGCGCAGGCGTCCTGAGACGCTCGCCCTCGAGGCGCCGACTTAATACGTCACAGCGGCGCCGCCACCGTCGGTGGTGGAAGGGCTGAGGGTGGTGGTTGGGCCGCGCTAGTTGGAGCGTTCCTTCCGCTAATGGCCCATGGAGCGTGAACCGGCGTGGACGCGCGTCGATAAGGTTCTTCCGTTTAGGAATTTATATTTACACACCCAGCTTGAGCCCGGAAGGAGAGCGCCTGGGTGATGTGGGATGTGTGACGGGGAGAGGGGCGTGGCCTGGCGGAGGGCCTCCGGGAGGAAGGGACCAGCTTCCGAAATTCCCAGTGGGCAACCTGTGGCTTCGTGGAGCCGGACGGAGCGCGGGAAGCCGGGCCACCAGGAGGGGAGGTTTGGCCCGGTGGAGAGTGAGGGCGGGGGGAGAGCGGATGGTCCCGAGAGGTGATGGGCCACCGTGGATTCTGTTCTTGGAGAACAATAAAAGCCAAAGATTTGAAAGCTTGGGGGCGGAAGCAACTGAAATGCTCCGTGGCTGCAGTCTGGAGAATTAGGTTATTGGGAGATGAGAACCCAGTGCGGAAAGGCTAACGTGGATTTTCACCAAGGTGGTAATAAGGTAGGAGATAGAACCGTAAATCAGGAAACTAGGAAGTTACAGGAGGAAAAAAAAAAAAAGCAACCTTACGATTGTAATACTTTTTTTTAAAAAAAAAAGTTCGTACTTCTAGCACAAGCATATGTGAATAATAGCGTTCATTTAGTAGGAAGGATTACATAAAAGGAAAACCAATAGATCTTCATATTAAAAAGAAAGCAACATACTGTTCTTGATTTGTGTAATTAAAGCTGACATGATTAACTAGAGCTTATATTCATTTCTGCCAGTCAGGGTGGATTCTCCCCTTCCCCCAATATCTACTATGTGCCAGATACTGTGCTAGAAAATGGTCTCTATTATGAGGACATTTAATTTCTATTCTGTATATGTGGGGGGTGGGGGGTGGGGGGTGGGGGTTGGGCATGACAAGCCAGTAGGCCATTTCCTAATAGTGATAGGCCTCAGGAAAAAATTAAATAGTATGATGTCAAAGAACAACAAGTCAAAGAAGGCTGAATATTCCAAGCTGAGAAAATAGTATTATTAAGATCCAAGGCTGCTTTGTGTTTGAGGAGTGAACAGGAAGAGAAGAAAAAGGCCAACAGGGGAGAAGGTAAAGGAGTGTGGGTCTCCTTACTATTTTGAAAAGCCACAGGGTACTTCTAAGCAGGGGAATGATATTATCTGGTTTATCATATATATATAAAAGAGAGATAGAGAGAGAGAGCATCTCAATATGTTGTCCCATCTGGTCTGAAACTCCATGGCTCAAGTGGTTCTGCTCTCTTAGACTCTTAAGCAGCTAGTACTAAAGACACACAACACTGTGTTACCTATGTTTTAAGTATTACTTTGGCTTTGTAGAAGAGGGCAAAGGAGACCAATAAATAGACCAGGAACCTACTGTATAGTACAAACAAGAGATTACTAGATTAGAGTTGTAGCAGCGGTTTGGATTGAAGTGGGTGGACACAATATATTTGGGAGGTAGAAGCAATAGGATTTGCAGATAGATCAAATTGTGATGGAGATTCAAAGAGGACTCAATGTTTTCTTGAAACTGGGAAAGGAGCACATAGAGAAGTAGAAATGAGTTCTATTTTGATAGAGTTGAGTTGGACATGGCTATTAGATATCCATGAATAGAATCTGAAAGGATCACTTTTCAACTCCCACCCCTATTTTGTAGCTGAAGAAAGATCCCGAGAAGTGACATGTTCAATATCACACCTATTGACTGGTAGTGTGAATTAATAAGAGAACTCAAGTCTCTTGTTATCTAGTTCATATATCTTTCTACTGTATCTCAGCTTTTATTTGAAGTCACTATAATATTTGGGCCTTGATAGTAAAATAATGTTAAACATTCATGCCTACAATTATAAAAATGATTTCACTGATCTCTAAGTGCCAGATAACATTGAATCTCAAGAATATCTTAATGCAGGGCTGGGAAGGTGGCTCAGTGGTAGAGTGCTTGCCTTGCATGCCTGAGGCCCTGGGTTCGATTCTCCAGCACCACATAAGCAAAAAGAAAAAAAGACGGAAGTGGCGCTGTGGCTCAAGTGGTAGAGCACTAGCCTTGAGCTGAAGAGCTGAGGGACAGTGCCCAGGCCCAGAGTTCAGGCCCCATGACCAGACCAAAAAAAAAAAAAAAAGAATATCTTAATGCATAAGCATCCCTATGAAATGAGTAATATTACTGTCCCATATAGCAGGAGAAACAAATCAAATAACATCCACAGGATGACAGTAAGTGACAAGACTTGAGGCTTTCCCCTCCAGAACCTCAGTATGATGCTACCTCCTTCAAGTACATAGCTGCTTCAGGACTGGGAGAAACTACTCCCAGATTGCTAGTGGCTTTGTGAAGGCAATGGTATTTGAGACAGGATTGGAAGGAAAGACAGGATTTTAATAGAGACGACATTTTATATAAAAGTGACAGATAAAAGAGGAAATTTGGCTAAAACATGAAGTACATGGGAAAGAATAAGTAAAGGGCTGGAGTAGAGTTGGAGTCGGAGAACAGAGATCCAAATGCCAGCCACATTGGTAGCGATTGCAGGTTTTGACAAGAGAAATGACCATGAGAGCTATGCTATAGGACAGGCCAGATATACCCATGATGGAGTGAGATAAAGTAACAGGAGGTGCAAAGAACACATTTTTTTAAAGTACCTGTTTTCTACCATGGTCTTTCAACACACCAGTCTCATTTATCATTCACTGCAATCTTATAAACGAGATGCTTATTTTGTAAATTATGTTATAACAACATAATTAGATATTAATATTGTTAAAGGACAACTTAAGGCCAGAGTTACAGAAGGCTCTACTGCCAGAATGTAGAAAAAACAAGACTTTGAACCAATGTAAATCAAGGTCTCACTTTAAAAACATACATGCCGTTGGCTGATTTTTCTCAGGGATACTGCAGAATTTGACTGCAAACTCTCAGTCAAAGGAGGGTCTAAAGCCAAAGTTGAAAGAAGCAGAAAAGGGAGGTGCTTTTAGGAGACAGCAAGGCAGCAGTAGAAACTTCATGTGCAAGGGATGAAAAGAGAAGAGGTGCACACAGCTGAAGTTCAAATGTGTTCTCAAGGAATGGCTCATTAGTAAATAAAAGCAGAAAGACTAGTGTCCAGAAAATATATTAAAGAGCATTACATGTAGAACTTGTAGTATCCATAGCATATTATTATTTTGCATATTATTAAAGTATTATATGGCTCACATATGCCAACTATTGTTTACTCATGTCTGACAAACAATAGTTACTAATAAAGCACAGTGTTGGCGAGTAAGTCCACAAAATAAAACATTTATACCATTCAATTTTGCCTGAAAGCATCAATTAGAGATCTCTGGGAATTTCTCCTTTTGTATCCTTGTCTCCACAGTCAATTTGACACCGATAGTTAAGACAATCTTTTAAAAGAAAATTAGAATAATCACTTGTCTGTTCAACTTTTTTTGGTAGATTCCCACTCAGAGAAAACATTGTGGTCATTACAATGGTCTAAAGCCTACACAGTCCTCTCTGAGTCCCTGCCCTCTCTGTCATCTACCTTCAGCTGTTTATCCCCCCCAACCTCGTGGCCTCTTTACTGTCCTTCAGCACACCAGACACTGATCAGTGGATTACTCTGTTCAGTGGATTTTCATGCTGCTCAATCCTTTCACTGTGGCACAAGTGTCATTGACCTTCCCTTATAAAGAGCAGGGCAGTTCCCAATACCAAATCTATATTCCTAATCTCTTTTCCTGGAAGATGGTCTCTTTATCTGTCAATTAGTTAATTAATTACTCCTTTTCTTGCCTCTTACCCCTTTGTGAAAGGTAAGTTCCATAATAGCAAAATCTTTTATTTTGGGCTGTATGTCTAGTTTAGGCTTAGTGTCTAAGCCTGCCACTGAGTTTTAGTGCTTGTTGGATCATTGTGTGAATGAATGAACTACCTAACTAACTAATGTAGTTTTTTTCTAAAAGAGAACAAACCCCATTATTTGAAAATACAGCCTAACAGGCTTTTTTTTTTAGGCAGATCCCACATACTCCTTACTTTGACAATTCTTTTACGTTTCTTATATCAGGAAAACAGTTATATTGCCCTCTTCAGCCCATATTGGAAGGTTACTTAAATAAACTATTATGTGAACAAAGAAACTGAAGCCCTAAGTTTCCACCCTTTTTCAGCTGTATGCTGAAGTACACTTGCTAGAATTAAAATGCTTAATGTAGGAATTATAAGCAGTGCTTAATGTATTGAGTTACTACTACCTCTCAAAGGAATCAAGGAGAAATTAGAGAAAATAGCATCCATAAAATGCAGTTCTGCCTGTTGCAAATAAATTATGCTAGAGGTAGGAGCCAAGGGACCTTCCTTCAGTCAAGTTACCCTCTTAACTCCACGCTATGAATTGAATACCACATGTACTCAGTAAAGATCAATGCTTATCTACCATAAAACCAGACATCTAGTCAATAAAACTTAAGTGTCTTTTTAATTCTGATGAGTGATTTTTCACTAATAAACTTCCAAGCACAAGATAATACCAGTTTCTGCATCTGGATCCAAACTGAATTACTGTGAAACAAGCACATGTGTGATTATGTGTATTCACTGAAATGGGTGGCAAGTAGCTCAGTAGCTCACATTAACTGGTATTGCTAAATTAAAATGAAAATATTTCAAAAGAAAACTGTATTGTGAAGTAAAGGAACTTAGGAGTGTTAACTGGTACAAGAAAAAATATTTAGCAATATCTAATAGAAGAGACATACATATCTTACAAATAAGCAGTTCAACCCCTGGATATACAGTAGAAATGAGAATTTATATTTATTCAAAGACACAAGAATTTGCCTACATT